GCTGATCTGTTAAATTGTGTTCGATAATGTTCCATCCAAGTAGAACGCTTTAAAAAATAATAAAAATATTGAAAAAATATCAATTTTCAATTTTAAATAATTTAGAAGTAAAATATATAGATAAAATTCAAACGCTAGTTTGAAGCTCAATTCTTCTTCTTTCTAAACAAAGTTATACTAAACAATTTATTTATAATAATAAATTAAAATGTATTAATAATTCACTATAGACTTGCTATTTATTAATAGCAATTTATTAATAGCAAAATTTGAAATATTTTTCAAAACTAGTAATTAATAGTAACATATACAATATTTAAATAATAAATTTAGGAACGACCTTTCATCAACTTTATATTTTGATTGTATAATAAAAATTAATACATTTTTTAATTACTCTTGATATTTTCTCTATATTTTCTTTTTTCTTCAACATTTGTAAAAAAAAGAGCAAAATTATAATTAATATATATTGATCAATTTTAATAATATAGATATATATATAGTTAATAAATATTAATTAATGCTAAATAATTTAAAATAATAAATTTATATTTCGCAATTACATTAATGCAAAGTTATAATAATGTTCCGCAGTATCCTTACAAGAGCGCGATATTTAAAAAAATTTAAGTAAATGATAACGTCAATGTCCTAAATCGCATCTCGACAGAAATAAGCAGCATGTCGTTGTACATTGCGATCAATAAAATCTTTATAGCCGAGTTGTGTGGCCGCAAGTAAAAAGAACAACGTTATGTATATATGCACGTCACCCCGTCACATAGTACATCTCTCGATACAACCTTGCACTCGCGTGACTTCATCCAAGGCCGCGACCCCCCGACTCCAGTTGCTGCCACACTTCTCGTACCCTTAATTCTCTTGCGCACCAATCGGCTGTGAGATTTCAAGGATACATATAGAGGTTTAGCTCTTATTATCGCGTCTAGGAATTTATTTTCTATGCATATATATATTATTAACAATAATTCTGGATTAAATTGCTATCAGTTATAAATTATAAGATTCAAATTATTTTCGTCCCACGTGCATACTTGTGCGTATATGAAAAGATATATATAGGTCGTATTATAAATTTTATTAACATGTATAATATTGTATTATTTTATATATACATATATATATTGTATAATAAATTTGTCAGGAGAATAATTTTTACTAAATTGGCAATTAATTAACTAAAAACAGTTTATAACTTCAAAAAAATAAGAATGATCATTATTTTAAATATTTAAAACAATAAAAACGCAAACCTACAATACATACTTATATATACATACAGCCTTTATTTTAAAAACTGCCGTATTGTATTCAATTTGTGGAAAGTGAAGCGTGAAATACAAACAACTTCTTCTCTCAAAAAATAGCAAGTATTAAAATAAAAGAGTAATAAATAATTATTTCATTAAATTCAATAAAGTTATAGCTGTAAAATGTTGACATAGGACCGACTACTTTCTCAAGCACACATAAATAACGTTTCGGAATACTTTGACAAATTATTTCTAAAAATAGTGTCGAGCTATCGCTTTCTGGGCAGTATCCAATAATCGCCACGAGTGAAGCTCGATAGCGAAATGTGTCAGCTGATTCCATCATCTGATATTTATTTATTTTGTTGATCCACGTATTTTTCATAAAAATAAAAGTTAATCTTATCTTATCGAGATGTAGTTTTATAACATGGACATATTTTTTTAAAAATCATTTTAAAAAATAATCATTAATAATTTATTTTATTGCAACATATATATATACACATGTTTAGAGCTTTTAAAACTATAAGAAATTGTTATATAAAATTCTTGATTTTAAGATTTTTCGTGTATACAACAAAAATTTTGAGAAAAAAAAAAAATTAAAAATGCAAGATATTACAAGAACGACAAATATTAATTAGTACATGTCATTACCTGGATCCTAATGATCGGTGGGAATGCGTCTTCTCTCGTCATTACTAAATAATAAACTGTATATTCTCTTTGACAAACTCTACGTATACGCACGCTCTGTAAGCACCATGCTGAAGACGTAGACTGCCGGATATTAATAGAGTTCTGTACGTTATTTTTGTTAAACTCCTATATGCCTTTGTTAAGTAATCGCGTATTGCGTTAATATCCAAAGCTAGCAAATCAACAATCACGCAAATTTACGAATATAATGTTTGATTTTAGCATACTGAAAGATATAAAAAGATGTATTTTTCTACTATAAATGTGTGTATATGCGCGCGCGTGTGTATATATACGGTAAAAATTTGATAAAAAGTTGACTTTTTTTCGAAGACAGAAATAAAAGGAAGACACTATTATCAAAATTGTAGGATAGGTAGGAGAACATACTTTGATAACCTTGTAACCTCTTAAATGTCTTTGGTTTTTTAACTACCAATAAAAAAATAAACATACTAATAAACATTAGTAACAAAAAGTTTAATTTAATCCATTCGTAAATTATTATTACATAAGATAATATTCTTCTTCTTCTTTCGCGACATTAAAGTTCACGGTGAATCAAAGCTTACCTCACATAAGATTTTCATAACACGGATTTTTTTTTTCCAGAATTAGATTGTTAGCCTAATGTCCAATCCCTAGCCTGGGGAATCCATATGTATGTCCACTGATATATGGGGGACCTACAGTTTAACGCCGAATCCGAACAACGCAGGATACAAAATAATATCACAAAAAATACAATTAATTCCACCAGAAACTGATCGAAAAACTTGGAGTAAGGGCGGTTACGTGATGCCACCATTTTGGTGGAATATACAACATTTCTCCAGGTTTTAAGTAAAACGTCATGCCGCTAGCTTCACGAAAATTTGGCCATTTCTCATAATCTGGCCTCACAGGATCTACTTGTGCAGTATTGTTAAGTAACTTAGTATCATAAGGATACAAATTATCTGTCTCAGTTGGAGAATATAAAATAACTCTTTTATAGCCGAATATCTAAAAAAATAAAACTACTGATACACTAAGTACAATATCCAAAATATAGTATAAAAAGTTAATTAAAAAGATCTTTAATATTTTATTCAAACAATTTCATTGTAAATCTATTTTTATATACCTGAGAAAGTAAATTATTTTTCGGATCAAAGTGTAAAGGTGATACTGTATTAGCAGGTCCAAACCAGGCATTAATATCAACTTCTGATGATTCTGTATTATTTTCCTCATTATCCGAAAAACAGCAATATTCCGGCACTTCGAAATCTTCTTTCAACTCTGGTATCTAATTAAGATTGATTTAAAAATCACGTTTTTATATTGTATTGAATATAAGATTTTATCGCGTACAGTGAATTAATACCTGTTCAAATAATTGATGTTGTGCTAAATAACCAACTTCGCTATTAGTCGAAATAATATGTTTTTGTAAAAATTCAGAAAAATTGACAAGATGCTGTGTCCAATCTTCTTCAGTATAACGAGATCCAATTTCAATCGGTACTGTCCGAGATCCCGCGATCATATTCAAATAATTAGGATTTTTCCATAACGTTAGTGCTTTCCAATGATTCATACAATCTAATGAAATGTATAAAATTAATATTTTATTTTTTTCTATAATATTTAAAGCATAGTCAGATCACTAAATATTTACGTTGTTCAAGGCAAATAAAAAAGAACTTTATCATGATACATAAAATTAAATATTTTGTTAATATGTTTAGAGACATATTTACTTTACATATACCTGTTAATACAGTTGGTAACTTTGGCATAAAAATTTTCTTGTAAAATGTTTCCATTGAAGGTTGTTCAAAATATCTATCCGGACAATTAGATATTAAATAGTCAGTCCCTTTATAATCAATTAAAATATCTTCCATATTTATAATATCAAATTCTTCTAGTAAAATTTGAAAAATAAAATCAATTTTAATAGCATTTTTAAATAATTTAATAAGTTAATAATTTATTACCATAAAATTATTATAAAATAATTTAATATTATATAATAATTAAAATACTTTTATAAATATTCTTACCAGCACAATAATTGTTTAGCTTCGTGGCAATAGTTGTCAATAAATTTGGCATACTGAGAAGAGGTGCTCCTAATAGAATGCCTCTATCAATTTGACTAATAATATTTTTTAATACAATCTTGTTCTTTTCTTTATCATAACTTTCAGCATTTATTTTCCACTGAAGCTCTAATAATACAGCCTATAAATGTATTAAATGCAATTGTAAATAAAAAATATATTGTCGATAGAAGCATGTGAATAATATAAATGTTGAATCATATATTTATGCATTATTTTATACCTTTACAATAACGCATAAAGAATAACAATATCTGTATTCTATTGAAACATCTTTCCAGTAGCCTGAATTCAATACCTCCCATGTACGGTCTAAACAAGCTTCCAATCTTGTTATCGATGTGTTTATCCAATTTTCTGAAGTTCTTATAGAGAAAACAACTTAAAGTGATTATATGTTGAATATTTATATTAAATATTATAAATATCATATTACTTGAAATAAGTCAGTCATAAATAAATATAAACAATCTACAACATTTTTTCAATAAACAATACTTTCTGAGATAATTAGCTATTCTGGGACTTTTGACATGCACTATATATGTTTATATATATACATTTAAATTTTTTAAAAGCACTTGTTTGTATTGTCTATTAATTTGACAAAATATACCTATAAAGCTTTTATGATAAGTACACAACAATTTTATAAATATATATGAAATAATATTGCTTATAAGTTTTCAATATTTACAATTGCTTGTCAGATGTCTGCAGCATATTAATTACAGATGTCAAGTGTAATTTTATTTCAATAGGTATATTTTCCAATTCTTTTGTTAATAATGCCCAAGGAACTGTTATCATAGAACCACTGTAAGTCATTCTGTAAATTATATATATATATATAGTCATTATTATTTTATACATATAATCATCATTATAAGGTATAATTAAAAATCTTTACTTATAAAAAAACACTTCTGCTATACATAGGTTTACTTAAGTATGTCCATCGCACAATAACATGATCAGCTAAATAATACAAAATCTTTCCCGTTAATGAGAAAGTTTTAACCCTACAGAAACTTTCTATGAATATAATAACATTTTCTGTAATAAATAGAACTCTAAACAAAAATGCCATAATACATAAAGGTACACAGGTACCAGGGCCATTGCATAAAATGAGCCCTGGATTTTCTCTCCACAAAATTGGAAGACAGTTTAGTGTGGCAAATATAGTAGTCCAAATCGACGTGAGGTACGATTGTTGAACTTCACGACTTCTATAAATTTTCACAATTTTAAAATCTTTATTGCCATTCTCTAAATCTCTAACTTTATCTGCACTAAGTTTATCTGTCTGAGCATGAATGTACACTCTAGGCGAATAATTCTTAATATTTAAGTATTTAACAATTCGCAACATTTCAGCTGTATGTCCACCAGAACCTAATATTATCATTGTTTTAATTGAACAGGACTTTTCTTTAGGTTTAGTGTTTTTGATAAATATCAGATAACAAGTTCTGGCAAGTATCAATATACAGGCAAATGCCATAAAGATGAAATATTCCACGTACATTTTCTTGTTTTGTTAGCTGAAAAAAAAATATTATGAAGTAATATATATGTACAAATTTACAAAGGGTTAAATTACATTAATAATAATTCTTACTAACCTCACTACAAATTATGTGTCAGCTCATAAACTGTCATCAACTGAAAAAAGAAATAAATTACAGATTAAATTAAAATTAAGTTAAATTGTAGAGTTATATAGAGAATTGCCTTGTAAATAAGTTTTTTATTTTTTATATGTACTTTTAATACTTTTTTATATAAGAAAGTCTTCTTTTTCTTATTTAATTTATTGGTATATTCTTTTAGATCATCCAATAGCAGCGAGCACTCACGGATCCGCTGTTGAGTCCGCTGAATGCGAACTATGAATACTGGCCTTAAGCAAGGATGAGATAATATGATAATATGATAATATGATTGGTTGGATCTTTAAGTAATAACCAATTATGTTGAATCGCTCAGCAAGCGTACATACATACCTAGCCGCTTTGTCGTCTTGAACTCGCCCACTGGCTGCGTTCAGCAGAAAAAGCAGCTTTGCAACTGTTGTAAACTTCTTGAATATGATTGGTCGCGTTCAGCAGACTCAACAGCGGATCCGTGAGTGCTCGCTGCTATTGGATGATCTAAAAGAATATACCAATAAATTAAGATAATTTAATAGAAAGTAACCAGTTAGTACGCGTATCTAGAGTCCTAGATATCAGAGAAGCGCAACCGGCTTAAGTCAGTATCGCAAAATTACTAAGAAAAGTATTAAAAATGGCGTCATTTGCAGACGAAATATGAAATCCACCAATCGTCTATTAGTCAGCCATTTTTAATACCACTGAATGAATGTCATGATTGGCTGACAGTCAGCTAATCAGGACGCGGAACATCGGTTGCGCTTCTCTGATATCTAGGACTCTACGCGTATCAAGTGCACGATGTAAACCAGATATCACGGTGCCAACATAATATTCACGTCTCTTTCTTCTGGTGTGCTGCAGTGTTTTGCGCATGCGGTAACGAGTAACGCATGCGCCGCAAGGCTGTCGCACACAGTAGAAAGAGAGGGTATTATATAATAAGAGGGTCTGCACTGGTCTTGCAGATCGATTATATGTTATATCTAGAGAGGCCTCTAGTTATATCTTATGATATCAAATGAGATGAATATTATAAAAATGAGCATATCCATTAAGTGTTAATCAATTAAATTACGATTTTTCTACTAAATTTGCTTTTGTAATTTTTATTTTATTTTGAAGTACATACATACATACACAATCGGCTTCTGTTATTGAATTTGGCATCACTGCTTTGGTGGAAACTAGTGAAAACTAGAGAAATTGATCTAGATCACTGGATCTGTTCGCATTGCTTGAAATTCCCTAAAATTTTTGAACTCAAAATGAGATAGATACTTAATTGAGCGTTGAAAAGAGAGAAAGCGAAGATGCTATGTGGAAAAAGTGCAAGCGTGCAACGCGACAAACCTATACTGTCTACCATGCCATTTTTATTTATATATGTATGCTTGGTGTAAGTAAGTAGAGATCAGACTGACTGAATCAAGTAGATTTGTTCAGATTTGTTCGACAAATCCGTAGTAGCCAAAAGTTGGTTAAAGGATTTATCGCTTTGCAATATGTGTGTGATGCGTACCATCGGTGTATGCAACGGGCGACATTTTCGTGAACGTTTGGTGTGAGAGCTGTTCACGCAAACGCTCGGTCGCGATCCGTCAGTCTGTGTGGTCTGGTGTGGTATTAACCGTGAACCGCCTGCAACGTTCTTCCCATTACTCTTCTCAATAAAATGGACCATCGCCAAAAGGTAAACCACCAACAAAAGCAGATTCAATGTGCAACGAATGACGCGTCAGAAAGAACGATATTTTTCTCGTTTGTCTTCGGAGAAAATTGAAGCACTTCAACAAGACACTGATAAAACCTAAATGTCGTATAACAAAATAGAGATTTATTTGCCAGCGAGAATTGTAAGAATTATTCGCATATCTTGCAACAATTTGTCTATCCATGCGTGCTTTTCATGCAGTTGTCAACTCTGCAAAAACTTAATGTCGTTTTGTGTTGTCTCTTTCTTGTTGTGATCTATTGTTTATAGGTCTATTCTTTGCGGCTGAATTAATATACACTTGTAGTACTTAAGATAAAATAAATATACTTGTAGGGTGTATACTAAGTATCAGGATTTTGAATAGTAACTACTTCATAAGTTAAAAGTTAAAAAGTTATTAAAATTAATTAATTTTAAATATTGTGTGTGATTCTTAACTCTTTTAATGTAGTTACTTGTAAACTTTAATCTACTTTGACTTTTTTTTAGTTAAACTTTTTTTTATCTTTCTAAATGCTAATATTATTTTGTATAAGATCTCAAATATTAGAGAATTTATTTAGAAGAAGTTCAATGATTGGATGATAAACGCTTCTTTTGTAATACTCGAAAATAAATATGGACTCTATGTAAGAAACGCTATCAGTACTTTGATGTGGCCATATAAAAAGGAGTACAACATTGCTTACCTTTTTAAAAATGACTTTTTATGATATAAATCTCAAAATATGAAAATATATATGTAAAAAAAAAAATACTCAAAATTAATTTTATATAAGAAATAACAAATATTTTTGTAATTTCATATCATTTACAAAATAAAATATTAAATTTATTTTCTAATCTATATTAAAACTGCTTTATTATTTAAAGTAATTTAATTTAAGAAAAATTAGGATATTTGTAATACAGCAATGTGGTACACAAGGTTAATAAGAGTTAAGAAACAATAAAAGAAATCTCCATAATTAAGTTAACATAAGTGTATTAAATATAAATGTAAAAAACTATAGGAAATAAGAATATACATATTCAACGCTGCAAAATATAATACATATACATGAAGAATAAAAAATGTGTTATATGCATTTTACAGCCAGTGTAAAATTAAAAATAGTTAAAAAATTACAGGATTCTTAATATTCAAAATACAACAATGTGGTACACAAGGCTAATAAGAGTCAAGAAACTATGAAAGAAATGTAAATATAAAAAACTACAGGAAATAAGAATATATATATGTACATTTATGTATATGTATTATGTTTTGCAGCATTGCAGTATTCTTATTTCCTGTAGTTTTTTATATTTATATTTAACACACTTATGTTAACTTAATTATGGAGGTTTCTTTTATTGTTTCTTGACTCTTATTAGTCTTGTGTATCACATTGTTGTATTTTAAATATTAAGAGTCCTGTAATTTTTTAACTATTTAGAATATTTGTATTTAATAAAAATAATGTTTTCAAAATAAATTTTTTTTTAAGTTAATTTAATCTTAATGTAACTTTAACTGTGTTAGTTTTTTTGTTTATTTAACTTTTAGTTTAACTAAATTTTATAAACCATTAACTTTAACTTAATTTAATTAAAAAATTAACTTATTTGATCCTACTAAGTAGGTATTAACGAAATTTTAAAAGATGATTCCTCATAAATTCAAGACAAAAACTTGATACGACCATGTCTGAAACAGCTTATCTGTTTTTGTAAAAGAGAGTCTAACTTATTCTTAGCTTCATCCCTGATTGAATAAAAAAATAATTCTAACAAATAAAATAATATAGAGATAAGATCTCAATAGTGATAAGATCTCCTTCAACACAAAGTTACATCAAAATAATTCAAATAATTTTTAAAATTTTGTAAAAAATGAAATTTTTTTATTTTGACATCCTACTTTTGAAACTAAATTTTGGATATATGGTCATATGAAGTTTTTGTCTTGAATTTGTGTGAGAAATCATTCCTTCTGTTAACATCAAATCTGTTAACACCCTAAATACACCCTATATATTTATTGATAACAAGATGGAATGCTTTTTATTTGGTGACATGAGTCAGTAAATGTTATTCTATCTTTCTTGACATTCAATAAGTAACAAAAATAGAGCGAAAATTATGTCGATTTGTGTCATCAAAATGGAAAACATTTATAGAAAATTGTAGTTAAGTCTAGTGTGACAAAGAGTAGACCTTATGTCAAGTTTTATCCATTATTTTATTTTACCAGATGATTGTAATTCCTCAACAATCAAAAATTAAAGTTGAGGATGACGATGATGAAGATGTGGAAGCACTGAGATTAGCAGCGCTTAAATCATTACGAACAAAAAATGCCATGCATAAAAAATTAGAGCTATCACAGATGCAGAAAGTATTACCACAAATAACACAATCATCCCGTTTTCCATATAAAAATCAACGATCTATGAAAAAAAATTATTATCATAACAGGGTGCAACAAAGGCAGAATGGCGTAAGTTTTCAATTTCTATTTAATTGATCATAATATTAATGTAACGTGTAAATATTAAACACTTGTATTTTACAATGCATTAAAGTATGTTTGAATAAATGTTTTAAATAGCTTTCAGAATGTATATAAAATTTATATAATTAGTAAGTCATTATTTCTGATTCAACGTCTTCATATGTACATTTGTATTTTATATTTGCAGAATTTATATTATCAGAGCCATCGTAATCCGAACTTGATAGCGATAGTTCCTGTAGATGAACCTTCTTCACTTCAACAAGTCCAATTAGCTTGTCCCGTAGAAAAGACTGAGTCTTGTGTAGAATCGTGTCCTCAAGGTAAACTTATATTTTTATACAGAATGAATAATACTAAATATATCAATAATATGTTTTTTAAAAATAAAATAATTATGTAATTATATGTGTAATTTCAGAAGTATCAAAATTTCATCGTTTTAAAGATAGTGGCAGCGCTTCTGAAGAAGAAGATGTAAAGGAGCAGAAAAGTGTCGTGACCTCTATAAAGACAGAAATTACATCGACAGAGGAATCTGTTGAATTTTCAGTAGAGGTGGAAAGTCAAGAGGAAATTACAGAGAATTTGCAGAAGAATGGTGAGAAGAATGAGCGAGAAGAAGATGGTAATGATGATGATGATGATATACTCTTAAT